ATACTTTCTCCCCAGAGAAGTTGGTGTAAAACCTACTCTCAATATTGAGAACGTATCTGGTTTCCCCAGTGAAGAACGTACATTAGTTTCCTCTCTTCAATATGGTGTTGACCTCCCTAATGAAGTCAGCACGAGGTCCTTAGTTGATATCTCGACGATGAGACATTATCTCCCCAAGTAAAGTTTGTATTATATTTCTCCATTAAAATCAGCTCGAATTCCTCAGTGGATGTTTTGACAATGTAGCTTCCATCTTCCTTATTCAAAATCAATACTGCAATCCCCAGTAGAAGTGCTGCGCATGAAAACATTTGTTTCCCCATTGAAGTCTGAGTGATATTCCCTGGTGAAGCCTGGAGAAGGATGTTATATCTCTGTATCTGTACTGTTTTTTCGCCATGATTTGTTTTCTTTCGGATTATGTTTCTCCCCAGTGAAGTTAATACATGCAGTAGGACTTTGTTTCCTCAGTTGGTGCTTATTTTCTTATGGAATGATTGTCTTGGATATGATTTATCCGAGTGTTGTTTGTGCCCGAGTTGGTTTTGTTTGTTTATCCCCAGTATTATATGTTTGTTTTGTCAGCATATACATGATAACACTCATACATTTATACATACATCATACATAGTTGAATTTAGTACATCATTATTCATTCACATTCGTAAATATTTTGTTGACATATTACCCTGTTTTACATATTTGTGTTGTCCTCTCTCCAATAGAGTGTCAGCTTTAAGCTGAAAGTGTATATTATTTCAATTTCCCCACTGAGTTATCCCTCGTGGAAGTTTTTTTGCTTTATCCTTCCTATACATCTCTTGGTCTGGATGATTTGGGTTTCCCCCTTGAGTTTATTTCTTGAAGGATGTGTTTTGGCTGACTTTTTTACTCCAGTTTATTTCTGGTTTGAATCTTTGCTTCCCATCAATATTATTACTTTTGATCTCTACAAGCTTTGAGCCTTGGTTTGAGTGTGCATTTATTTTGCACAAGAAGACTTTATCTCCTCAACAGGAATATGTTGGCATTTCCCAGGAAGCCATTTTGTTTTCCCCAGGAAGCTATATTGCCTTCCCCGTGAAGTCATGATTCATTCCCCAGGAAGTCATGACATTCTCCCCAGGAAGTCATTTTACAATTCTCCATAACAGCAAGTAGCAGGTCTCTTTATTTGAGCAACTTGTATTTCCCCATAAAAGTCGATGTTACTTTTTTGCTATCTTCCTTATGAGTGGATAGTTTGCAGTTCACTGCCAAATTACTCTAGTGGATGGCTAGTCTCTTCAATATCGCAGAGACACATCATTGTGAAATCTTTACAAGTGGTAGTCTCTTTATTTTAGACAACTTATATATTACCCTTTCCAGGCGGAATACCTTGGTTAAAGAAGAAGTTGAAACATTTTCTAGATAAAACGCCAAAATTTTGGGGAAAACTTATTATCTTTTTGCTACCCTCAGTGAACGTTGGTAGTTCATTGTCAGTGAACGAAAGTTCTATGATATATTTTCTCTCTACCTTCAGTGAAAGTTGGTAGGTCACCATCAGTGAAAGTTGATGATTTTTTATCTTTTTGCTACCCTTAGTGAATGTTGGTAGTTCATCGTCAGTGAAAGGTGGTGTTATGATATATTTTCTCTCTGCCTTCAGTGAAAGTTGGTAGGTCACCATCAGTGAAAGTTGGTGATTGTTATCTTTTTTTCTACCCTCAGTGAACGTTGGTAGTTCATCATCAGTGAACGGCGGTGCTATGATATATTTTCTCTCTACCTTTAGTGAAAGTTGGTAGGTTACCATCAGTGAAAGTTGGTGATTATTATCTTTTTGCTACCCTCAGTGAATGTTGGTAATTCATCGTCAGTGAACAGTGGTGCTATGATATATTTTCTCTCTACCTTCAGTGAAAGTTGGTAGGTCACCATCAGTGAAAGTTGGTGATTGTTATCTTTTTTCTACCCTCAGTGAACGTTGGTAGTTCATCATCAATGAACGGTGGTGCTATGATATATTTTCTCTCTACCTTCAGTGAAAGTTGGTAGGTCACCATCAGTGAAAGTTGGTGATTGTTATCTTTTTGCTACCCTCAGTGAACATTGGTAGTTCATTTTCAGTGAGCGGCGGTGCTATGATATATTTTCTCTCTACCTTCAATGGAAGTTGGTAGGTCACCATCAGTGAAAGTTGGTGATTGTTATCTTTTTGCTACCTTCAGTGAATGTTGGTATTTCGTTGCCAGTGAACGGCGGTGCTATGATATATTTTCTCTCTACCTTCAGTGAAAATTGGTAGGTCACCATCAGTGAAAGTTGGTGATTGTTATCTTTTTTCTACCCTCAATGAACGTTGGTAGTTCATCGTCAGTGAATGGTGGTGCTATGATATATTTTCTCTCTACCTTCAGTGAAAGTTGGTAGGTCACCATCAGTGAAATTTGGCGATTGTTATCTTTTTGCTACCTTCAGTGAACGTTGGTAGTTCATCGTCAGTAAACGACGGTGCTATGATATATTTTTCTCTCTACCTTCAGTGAAAGTTGGTAGTTCACCATCAGTGAAAGTTGGTGATTGTTATCTTTTTTCTATCCCCAGTGAATGTTGGTTGTTCATCGTTAGTGAACGGAGGTGCTATGATATATTTTCTCTCTACCTTCAGTGAAAGTTGGTAGTTCACCATTATGTAAGTTGGTGATTGTTATCTTTTTGCTACCTTCAGTGAACGTTGGTAGTTCACCATCAGTGAAAGTCGGTGCTATGATATTTTCTCTCTACCTTCAGTGAAAGTTGGTAGTTCACCATCAGTGAATGTTGGTGATTGTTATATTTTTGCTACCTTCAGTGAACGTTGGTAGTTCATCATCAGTGAATGGCGGTGCTATGATATATTTTTTCTCTACCTTCAGTGAAATTTGGTAGTTCATCGTCAATGAACATTGATGTTTGTCTCTCTACTTTCAATAAACGTCGGTAGCACACCATCAGTGAACGTCGGTGTTGTTATTCTTTTCTCTTTCTACCTTCAGTGAACGGTTGTAGCTCACCTTCAGTGAACGTCAGTGTTGTTATACTTCTCTTTCTATCTTCAGTAAACGTTGGTAGTTTCACCTTCAGTGAAAGTTGGTCTATCCTTTGACCTTTTACTGTCATCTATGAGTCGACATCTTTTTGATCTTCTACCTTCGACTATTGAGTTGGTAGTTCACAGTTATTTGTCGATCGTTGTTATCCACTGCTTTTTCCTCATTTAATGAGTTTGTGATACTTTGTCTCCTCTCGGGCTTTACCCCAATAGAGTTGAGTCTTCTATTCCCCATCAAAGTTGATTTTCCTCCAATGGAGTCAAGTTTCTTTCCTCAGCAGGGAAGGTAATTCTTTCTAGAAGATTACTTTCTTATAGGCTTGTTGCTCGCTTTGTTAAGTGTTTCCTCATTGAAACCTCATTTTGCCTTCAATTGTGGTTTCGGCTTTCCCCATACAAAGTCATCCCCAGAGTTATGTCATTCCCAGTGATTTATTTTCCTGGTGGATTCTCTTTGGCATCTTTCTCCAACAGGTTTCAAGTTGTAGTTTCATCTATGTTATTATCCCTAATAATGTTTTATGTTTCCCACAGAATCCTTTATGTCTGCATTCATAACCATAAGCATTTCATGACACCTTAGGGTTAAAAAATAGGGTCTTCTAATATTTAAGTATCTTCAATCTCGTCGAGACAAAGGTATCTACCTTCATATCTCCGGATAGAAGACACTTAAATAGGGGCAACTGTCATACTCCATTTTCCCCTAATTTGTTCATTCATAACATCATATGCATTTACATCATAAATCTTTCATTCATTTAAGATATTAAGACATGGGCTCAAATGGCTCTTGATATTAGGGTTTTACCCTATGAATTGAGGTTATTGTCTCTCTCAAGTTGATCCCATTGTTCCATTTATCACTCTTGGTATAAAACCAAGGTTTTGGATCACAAGCATCATGGATATTTTCCTTGGTAAGATTCCTCGAGATACAAGTTTTTCTTCATCTGAATTTCTTCAAGAAACCAGTGCATTAGGATTTGACTTGTATACTCAAGACTTTATCATGAATTCACTGTGAATGTCTTTGAGCTAGGTTTTATTCCTCTCGGCGTCTCAAGCTTTCTTCATCAATATGCACTCATAGAAAATGCATTAGGGTATCTCCTGTCTTGCTTGAGCATTGATAATGATTCTTTAACAAAGTTCATCATGCTAGGGTTTACATCTTATCATGCTTGAGTTTGTCAACATTTCAATTGAAATTCATTGGACTTCATACTTCAAGTCCTATCATTCATCTTTAAGTCGTTCCTCAAGGCATTAATTTTGTTTCAAGATTAATGGTTATCAAACTAGGACGGTTTTGTGGATTAAATTGCGAAACATGAATCATGGCATGGAAGATGTAAATGAGATTTCTTTGTAAGCAGAGTTTGGTTGCCTATTCAATTATTTGGTTGCTTACAAATTATTTTGGATTTGAATTGAAGACTAAAAGTTGAGTTTAGAAAGTTCATGTTTATGGCTTACTTGAAATGCAATTTATAAGTGATAAGTTCTAGTTGAAATCCAAGTTTAAATTTATTCCAGTGCATCATTTGGAATTAAAAATAAAAAATAAAGTATTCATCATTTCCTACATATTTATTTCCAAGATCAAAGTTGTAAAGTTAGAAAACTGATGAATTTTGTTTGCTTGGAATTTAGAAGTTTACATCATGATTCAAGAGAAGGTTACAAGCATGCCATATTTCAAAGTTCACTGAATTTCACTTGGTTCATCACCATTCATCAAGTTTCATTAATACAAAGTTCAAATAAGTTTCCTTGAATATCTCAACAAAAATTCATTCTTCATTCTTAAGAGCAGGTACAAGATACAATCCATGTTTGTATTACAAGTCAGAAAATTACATAACAAAAACATTGTCCTAGACCTAGTCTTCTATCTTCAAGCTCTAAACCTGATGCCTCAATAAAAAGGAAAAGGACTCAAAACCCTGCAGCATAACAATAACCAAAAGTAGTATTAGTTCATACAATTCTGTCCAAAATTTCCATTATTTCTGCTTGTACCATGTTGAACCAACACAAATCCAAGGTGGTTATAATCTTGTCCAAAATATCTTCTCAAAATAAACCCTGCATTGTTTCAAAACCAGTCCAAAAAATAAATAAATAACAAAAGCTGGTACATAACCATGGGCTAGCATCGGTTCGAGAAGAAACAAATCAGGCCCTTGTAACTGATAAATTGTATGCACATCAAAAAACATTCCAGCTTAGCAAATCACAGAATAAAACCAGAATTTTGAAAAAAATTAAAAGCTTACGCAAGAAGTTTATACCAGCTCATCAAGGCCAAAGAGAAAACCAGAGGAAGTATTAAGCCAAATAAAAAATCAGGAAAGTTAAAAACTGAAGTTCCAGCTCATGTTCATCTCATCCATTCATTCATATAACAGAATTTAAAATTCAAAGGCTCAGATGATCTTACCTATTGAGAAGCTTCTCAGACAAGTCAAGCAACTAATATATAACAGATTTCATCTTCAGATCCAGAAAAAAAAGAGGAGGAGGAGGACGATCTTCACTTCTGTAAAATAATTTCTCTGAGAAGTTTCAGAGTTCTCTCTGAAATTCTCCGAGGCTTCAGTGATTCACTTCTCCAAAAATATGTGCCAAAAAACTTCAAATTCTCTCTGAATTTTATCTTCACTTTCCTTCACGTCTTCATAATCACCTCTCCATCTCTCTACAACTGATCCAACAATCTTCATCTTTAATCTTCTCTCGTTTCCATCTCTGCTCATCTTTTCTGCAATAACAACAGGGCTGCCTCATCAACACAAAATACAGAGAAATGTAAAAAAACTCTGAATAGAGTAAATCAAAGAAGAGTAAAGCAAATAAGTAAAAAAAGGGGAAGAAATATCACAGAGGAAATTGAAACGCATACCTGGATCGTTGATTTTTTGTCTCACTATTAAAGACGCATCAGACCGGTCTCCGGCAGGTAAGTCTCAATGCTTATTTCTTATTCTTCATGTGTGATATTATGGTTATCCTTACTCTGAAATATAACTCGAAAACAGAACAACAAATATACAGAGGTGATGATTGGAGTAGCGCGACAAAGCGGAGTTGAACGTGAAATCACAAGCGAGTAGAGAGGCAATGTGAAGCTTCGAAACTTGAAGCTGACGGCAGTGCTGCGAGGAGGAGGAGTTTAGGCTAAGGTTAAGATCGGTGATGAGCGACTTTTTGAAGCTTTGAGAAGGCGAAGCAGCGTTTACTTGATGATGTCAACTGAGGAGGTCGAATGGATATGAAGCTTGATGGAGACGTGATATTGGTGATTCGTCGAGATGAGCATCGAAAGAAGAAGAACTGCGGCGCTTTGAGGATGAATAGGAGAAGGTGATGACTGAAACAGTGCGGAGGAAAGAGGCGAGACGAGTTTGAGACGAACGAACCGGTGATGCATCGGAAGAAGTCGAAGCGGGAACGTCGCCTGAAAATTGATTTCTGCGGCGCTGTTGCAAAGAAGACGATGGAGATGAGCTTGTAGAAGATGATTAGCCACAATCCTTTAACCCTGGAATTCTTCTCTTAAAACGACATCGTTTTTTAATTTAATTTGTTTATTTGATTTTATTTCTTTTATTTAGGAAATTGAAAACAAAAATCTGAATTAGACTGTATTAATTGGGCCTCGTTTTTTAACCTCCCTTAAGCCCATACTACCATCAATTTTTGGAGCTTGTTACCAAAAAAACTTGTGTTGGACCATTCAGCATGGGCCTAGCGTCCCATTTAGTTACAACACAGCTGAGCCAAGCTTTATACCTCCCTCTATTTCTTATTCTTTTATGGTTTTAGTTCTATTTTCTTTTATTGTTTTTTAGATATTAAGATAATAAAAAAATAATAAAAATAATAAAAAGAGATATAAAAAAATACTTTAGGCTTTTATAAATATTTTAGGATTTAATTAGATTTTATTCCTATTATTTCTTCATACTTTTAATTTCTTTTAAATCAAATTTACACATCATGTTTTATGTGTTTTCTTTGTGTAATATTGATCAAATAAGATGCTTGAGAATTAAGGATTATCTTACGTTGAAATGCCATGCTCATTTAGGATTCCATGAGACGATTAATCTCCCTTTTGATCATTTTATGTTGATTAGACCTTAGGATTTCAATACAAGCATGATAACATCAGGATAGTCCCTTCATCCTTTTTAAAAATCTTCTCCCTCCTTTTGAAAACTCTTCTTGTTTCTAACTTGAACTGCTTTCACAATAAACTTGGATTTAGGCCCATGCCACTTTGGCTCTTACTCTTAAACTTTTCTCAAAAGATCCGACTCTTGTCAATCCTTATAGTGATGCGAACAACTATACTTCTACAATATGTATTGAAGTGAGATATTTTCCACTTGAGTGTTGAGTGAGGCATTGTTGATTTTAAAATCCAAGCCATATCTTCCACTTTGAGATGATACAAATTCTCATTTCTCATGATTGTGGGTAGTAAGTATGTTTTCCACACGGACAATGACGATGATGTCTTATCTCATAAAATTAACCAACACACTTGTGTTTTAAAATTTTCAAAAGAGGAACTACGAGTGTTCTGATTCCTCATGGGATACGTAGGCACTGGATTGAAGATCCAGGCGAACACAATAATAAAAAAAACTTTCTTTTTCTCCAAATTGATTCATTCATGCAAATAACTCTTTTTAATAGCCAACATACACAAATTTACAAAGAGGTTCCTACGGAGTACCATAGATGTTTAGAGTGTTAATACCTTCCCTTTGCATAACCAACCCCCTTATCTTGAATCTTTTCCCCCTCTTTTGGGTTATTCGCTCTTTTCCCATTCTTTTGGAAACAATAAAGCATGGTGGCAATTTTTATTTTTGATCTGTATAAATCTAGTCAATCTAATGGCTTAGTCTTAAACATTTCTACCGCTACAGGGACCAAAGTGAACCATTCCCTATAGTTAAGGGACCAAAATAAATATTTTGCCAAGGTTTTATTATTATATTAAAAATATAAAGAGAAGTGGATACTTATGTAGGAATTTCAAATACAAGAACGCTAGTTCAAATTCACGGCATCTTACATATTCATTTTTAAATAATAAATTATATCTATTAGGCTACTTAACCAAAAAAAAAAACATAAGTTGAATAATAGAAATGCAAGACAAGACAAGTATACCTATCATTTGAAAAAATATTGGTTTAGTCACAAACTCAAATATTTTATATGTATACACATTTAAATAAATAAATAAAAAAATTAAAATAATATTAATAATATGGTTAAATATGTTTTTGGTCCCTATAAATATCTCAAATTTCATTTTTAGTCCTTATTAAAATAATGGCAAGTTTTAGTTCCTACAAAATTATTATGCACGTAGTTTTAGTCTCTGTTGTTAAACTAATGTGTATTTTTGAATGATTATTTTGTAGATATGTTTAGAACGTTATAAAAAGTCTCTTGAAAAAAATAAATTCAAAATTTGATTTCTAAGTCGAGATTTTCATTATTTTTATCAATATCTTTTGAAATTAAAAAAAAAATCATATTTAATTCTTCTCATTTTAAAAAATTCTAAAATTTGATAAAGAAACAGTTTATTGTATTCTAAACATGTATGAAAAATATTATTTAAAATTTTAAAAGTTTAAGAGTAATTAAACAGTTTTTAAAATTTTAGAAAATAGTAGGGACTAAAACTGTATGAACAAAAAATTTGTAGGGACCAAAATTTGTCATTTTTTTAATAGGGATTAAAAATGAAATTTGAGATATTTATAAGAATCAAAAACATATTTAACCCTTAATAATATGATGAAATTATTATTATTATTATTATTATTATTATTATTATTATTATTATTATTATTTGGTTGGATTGTGCGGGTGTGCTCAAATACAAAATATATGAATTTGTGCATGTACACGTGAAGTACACTAAGTGATAACTCTACCTACACGAAGACCATTGAGAATCGTAAGACTAAGTCGTATGAAAATTGTCTTTCTTTTAATGATTTTCGGTATAAATAGTATCTCAAATTACTACGTGTCATTAAGAACGATTGATGGCCATTAAGACCAATATCCCCTTGTTTGCACAAGATCGATTAATAGGAATCAAGTTCGTTATTTCCTAGTTTAAGACTGACTAATTATGACTATTAGTATATCAATCAAAAGTAAGACTACATGTACATAGTCTCTTAAGCATGAGGCGTGTATGAGATAAATTCTTTTAGTGAAATAACAGTTGGGACGAGCAGGCTTCACGAGGTGCATGCCGGCCTTCTAAGTGAGATAACTCACCCTTGATGTTTTATGTCATGCTCTTCCGACCTAGTTAGAAGCAAGAAGGTTGGTTGGACTGAGGGGTATTCTTAAGAGGCGAGCATGCCTTCTAACTAATGTAGCGCTCCCTTTATATTTTAGGTCAGGCTCTTTCGGCCTCGTCATAAGTTCTATATAGCCTGAATTATATTTAGGGAGTGTTTTTCTCTAACTACTAAGCTCCTCTCTCTAAAATAGGCCTAAATGTAGACATTCCCCAAAACATGAGGTGTGTAGGGCCGAAGTGCTTTAGTTGAAATTATGTGATGCTACAAAGTTATCATGGACAAACTATTGGTAGAAGAGGCCAATCTTAAAGATGGAATGGTGGAACAACCTAAAGATGTAAATATTAAGTCCCCGTTATATTTGTACATAACCCCTCAAGCTCAAGGCTTGCATGTGCAAACTGATTGACTTTGAAATTCAGATGTTGCAGTTGAGATCGACTTGACTTTGTAGAGCCATTTGTTCCTCTAAAGTTTTGACTGATAATATTTTGCAGTGAGTCACTCATATGTGTGAGGATATATTGGAGGGTTTAAGCATAATGCTCTGAAGGGAGTCTCCTAAGCGCAAAGATAGCTTGATATGTTCATGCACATCGCACTTATAGGATTCATCTATAGACGCAAGGATATTCTGATGGGTTCATGTATTATACTCATGTAGGAGTCTTAAGTAAGCGCAAGGAGATCCTGGTAGATTCATGTATTAGGCTCTTGTAGAATTCTACAATAGAAGAAAGGAAAGCCCAATGGATTCATGCATTATGCTCTTGTAAGAATCTTCAATAGGCGCAAGGAGAGTCGGACGGGTTTCTACACCGTGCTCCCGCAAGAGACTTCAATATCGATAGGTTCCTACATTGTAATTATGCATGAGTAATATAGGTGTGGGGATTTCTTGGAGGTTTTGAGCATAATGATTTAAAGGGAATATCATGTAGGTGCAAGGAAATCCCGATGAGTTCCTCCATATTGCTCTTATAGGATTCATATGTAGGTACAAGGAGAGCCCAATGGGTTCCTCCATTTGTGATCCTGTAGGAGTCTTGAGTAAGCATGAGTAGATCTTGGTGGATTCTTGTATTGTGCTCCAATAGGATTCTTCATCAGGCACAAGAAGAGCCTAATGAGTTTCTGCATTATGTTACTGTTGGAGTCTTTAGTAGGCGTAAGGAGAGCCCGTTCGATTCCTTAATATGCTCCTTAAGGTATATTTAGTTGGCGCAGAGAAAGCTTTATAGGTTCTTGCATTATGTTCCAATCAGATTTTTTTTATAGGTGCAAGGATAGCATAGTAGGTTCCTGCATTATGCTCTTGTAAGAGTCTTCAGTAGACACAAAGAGAGTATGGTAATTTCTTGTATTTTTCTCCCCTATGAGTCTTTAATAGATTTAAGGAGAGCCCAACGGTTTCATGTATTATAACCCATAGGGACTTGAATATGTTGGCATTGGAGGTCGTTTCTATTGAACTGGGACCTTGTGTCATTATAAAATCTAATGAGACCTTAGGAAATTGGTGGATTAGGTGTCTTACATTAGGAGGACTATTCATTCATAGGTTGGCATAAGTTTTCCTTCTTTTGGTAGATAGGAACAAAGATCGACAATAAGAACTTTTTTATAATGCATGTATGCTCTACAGTCTCAAGTGCTAAAGGAGATATTGATTGTGGATTTTCAAAGCATGTGACATGAGATATAAATATATTTTCTTCCTTTGCTTATAAAAATGAATGACTTTGTTTCGTATGATGATAATAACAAATGAAATATTGTAGGTCCTATAATGGTTGGTAAGTATCTAAATCCAACAATTGGTGATGTTTTATGTGACAAAAGGGTAACAAAGTAACTTTTGATTCGTCTGTACGCAGGATCGTAAGAACTGAACATAAATTAAACATTAATATCTCTATTTTTAATTTCAATAAGTCACCTTCAAATCATTTTTGTTTGTTGAATAAAGTGGATGAATCATGACTATGACATAGAAGAATAGCCGATATCCATATGGACCATTTAAGAAAATTGGTCCTAAAGGAATTAGTAACCGGTCTATCAAACTTACATTTTGAAA